GGGCACTTGGGGGGGGGGGGCACGTGGAGGGGATTTCCCGGGGGTCTCGCCACGCCCCCTCCGCGGTAACGTCACAGTGATGGGGCCAATCAGCAGAGCCGGGCAGGAAAGTCGTCCAATTAGCGACGAGGGAGAGCGGGCCAGGCCACCCGCGCGCCTCACGGTGCTGCCAGCCAATCAGCGACCAGTACAGCTGATTGGCGCTGGCCAATCAGCTGCGAGGGCGTGGCCTGACTTCCCCGCCCCCTCACTGTCCGCTCTCAGGATACCCAAATCTGCCTTTTTCACCCCGATCTCCACCCCCCACCCCACAAATATGCCCCTTATGACGCCATAGCCGCGCTGTGACCCCTCCAATCTGTATTTCCAGCCCCTAATTTTCCCCCAAACCCGAAATTTGTTGTTCTGGCCCCAATAACTGCCTCACCTAAATGGCACCTGCCCCTTTAATTCCCATTCGCCCTCGCGCCTCTTCTGTCCCCTCCGCGCCGCCGTCGCCTCCCCCCGCCCGCTTCCCCCGTCAGCCAATCGCGGCCCGCGCCCAGCGTGACACCGCCCCCGCCACTTCCGGCGTCGCGTGAGGCGCGGCTCTCGCGAGACTTGGCGGCGGAGGCGGCGGGGCCCGCCAGGAGGCCGCGAGCGGGAGCGGAGGAGACCGGGACCGGAAGCGGGACCGGAAGCGGGACCGGAAGCGGGACCCGGACCGGGCGCGAGCGAAGCGGTCCCCGGGAGGGGCCCCCCAGGGCGGGGCCGTCGCCGCGGGAGCCGCTGGCCGGTGATGGCAGCGGGGAGGGGCGGCGGCACTGCCCTCTGACCCCTGACCCCTGACCCCGCCCTCACCCTTGACTCCTCCCGCCCCCCCGTTACCCCGCCCCCCCCCCCGTTGTCCCCCTTGGGGTGGGGGAGGCCCCATGGGAGGGGCTGGGGGGAGGGACGGGCTCAAGGGGGGGTTCAGCGAGGGGAGGGGGCGTGACCCCCCCATTGGGAGGGATCGGGGGGGGGGCATCATCACCCCCCCCAATTGTCCCCATTGGGAGGGGTCGTGACCCCTGTTCTCCCCCCTCAATTGTCCCCATTGGGAGGGGGTCATAAGCCTCCCCCCCCCCCATTGTCAACCCCTCGGGGGTGGGTCCCCATTGGGAGGGTCCCGGGGGGGGGGGGCGGTTCGTGACCCCCCCCTTGTACCCCCTACAGTTGCCACCATGTCGGACAGCGACGACAGCAACTTCTCGGAGGACGAGAGCGAGCGGAGCAGCGAGGCCGAGGAGGCCGAGG